ACTTATATGACGTATTTCCTGTATTTGGCCCAAGTGTTCAAGTGAGCACGAAGACCACAAGTGTGTGTCGAACTTTTCATTACCTGATGGGACACACTTGTAGAGTTGTAAAAATGCAAGTGTTTACACAGCTGTATTTTAATTTTAAATACTTTGCATTTTAAAATCAACTTCTAAATGTCTGTTCAGTGTCTCTATAACATGACCATTTTAATTTGTGGTGCTTCTAATTAAGTGATAAAAAGCAGTTGCAAATGTTGTACAAAATAAATATCACCACTACTCATCTTTGCACCAATAAAACGTAAAAACAGTGTTTTTCTACCAAATTATATGTAATATCTAATTATTATATTAATATATAACTTGCATTGGAATGGTTTCCGTGACCTCTCGCGAGATCTCGGCAAAAAAGTCTCACGATTTATTTCCAGAACATGATGCATGATGGGATACACTAAGCCTCGAATAGCGCTCCGGAGCAGTATTCGAGATAGTGCGCGTTAAGCGCACTGCGCTCTGGCGTTTTTAAGACCTGGGACAGTCTTGCGCACTTACTTCCTGTCGCGCGCACGCGCTCTCAAGTGGCCAAGACTGCAAGTGTGGGTATTTGGACAAGGGGATCGTCTTATATTTGGGTCAATACTGTATATCATCATATTGTATATCACCACCCATTCACTGCCATTATAAAGCTTGGACGAGCCAGGACATTTTTTAATATAACTCCAATTGTATTCGCCTGAAAGAAGAAAGTCATATACACCTAGGATGGATCAAGTGTGTTAATCATGAGGTAATTTTCATTTTTGGGTGAACTATCCCTTTAATTTGAAAAACACATATCATCCTATACGCTAGATGGCGCACTAACGACTGTTCCTCGAGGTGAACATCCGCTGCGCGCTGATCTGCCATTTTGTTGTTGAGATCAGAGCAGGGGACGCAGCACGCGTTGTTCTATAAATGAATAATACGCCTCTCTTATAGCGGATCTGAGATAAAGCCGAGGCACGATGCTTTCTGCTGCCCAGTTACTCGATGAGTTAATGGGCCGGGACCGGAACCTGGCTCCGGACGAGAAGCGCTGTAATGTTCGCTGGGATCACGAGGCTGTAAGTGAGCTAGCGGCTAACCAGCAGCCGCGATTTGTTAAATACTCGCACACAGAGCTCTGCAGATCACCGAACGACCGAAGAACGCGTGTCGATGTGTTTGTAGAGAGCTGCTGAAATGGCCGGTGTGTTGTGTGCTAGTCTGTGCGGGGTGTTGGGGTCAGTTAGCACGCTAGGCTAAGCGTCTCGTCGTTGAACACATGCGCTAAACATCCGCCCTCGTCTTCATCCGCGTGTTACAAGTGTTTTTTTTGTTTTAACATCGCGCTACAAACAGCACACGATACTCTATCAGCCGCGTAATAACCGCGGACTAATACTCTGGACACCTTAGCAACAACATAACGACTTCCTTGGCAACGTGGTGACGAGTTTTGCGCCTTTAGCTTTAGTGTTCATTTGTTTGTTGTTTACTTTGCCTTACTATTCTTAATTTAATGTTATTTGGAATTAAACCGTTTTTATAATTCTATTGTCTAAATATAGTTCAGGTATATCGCTCAATGTACTGACAAGCATTTATGTATTTATTTTAAATGTATTACTGAATAACACATTATAATCAAGTGCTTTACATGTGCTTTTGTATGTTAGTTTGAAGCGCAACAAAATATTAAAAATGATTTAAAATGTACTATAATCAGTGTTGGGGAAAGTTACTTTTAAAAGTAATGCATTACAATATTGCGTTACTCCCAAAAAAGTAACTAATTACGGTACTTTTTATGGGAAGTAATGCGTTACGTTACTTTCGCGTTACTTTTTAAATCTGGACAGGGCTTGCTTGTTTGTTTTTAAAATAAAAAAGTTCTAATTTTGGCAGATATAAAAGCCTTTTCACACCAAAAGTGAAATGAATGCGCCTCAGGCTGAAGGAAAAGTACATTTACATCTCTACAGTAGAATACAGAAGAAGAAATTTCAACACTTCAGCAATAAACAAAAAAAGACACCAGTAATTATTACTTATTAGTACGGTTGAACTGGATCATCGAAGGTCAGAAGCAAATAGAATGGGATTAAATACATAAAGGATATTTGTGTTTAACATTTCATTGTTTCAGGTTTGCGTCATATTCTGAGTTGCATTATTTTTATTCATTTTGAGGAATACTGAATCTGTGTTTTAGTGAGATGAATTAATGCATATTCATATTTATTTTAGAACTACAGTAACATCTGATTTCTCTCAACATGGGCACAGGAGAGCTGTTAATCAATAAATTGGAAAAAAAAGTAACTTGCGTTACTTATCTGAAAAAGTAAATCAGATATTCTCTTGTAAATTAAAAAGTAATGCGTTACTTTACTAGTTACTTGAATAAGTAATCTGATTACGTAACTCGCGTTACTTGTAATATATTACCCCCAACACTGACTATAAGTAAAGCTTTTAATTTGACATTATTACTAAGTGCACTTTTAAAAAAGTCTACTTAAGTGTGTTAAGAGACAAAGTCTTTAAGGTGAACTCTAAGTACACTTAAAGGGATAGTTCACCCAAAAATGAAAATTCTGTCATTAAGTTCTTCCAATTCGCTAAGACTTGCGTTCATCCTCGGAACACAGTTGAAGATACTTTAAATTAAATCTAGGATGGCCAAACTTAAGAAGCTGCCCCTGGAACTTACGCGATCGGCAACCGGATGTTTTTTGTCTTATTGCAACTCGTCTCTGTTCTGGACTTGCACAAAGTGCGTTGCAATGCAATCATTTTCCAAAATGTAATTTATGTGAAAATATGAAGTCTGTAAACGCCTGTTAACACAGACCAGAGACGCTGACACACAGAAAAATACTGTAGCAGGCAGATCACTCACTGTTCATGATGCACAAATTATTGGAAGAAAATCCTAAATGTTGATTTGGGTGTTTATATGAATGAACTTACCAAAACTTATTCGAATCCAGAAGGAGTGTATTTGGCACAGAAATACAACATCATACATCCAACTCGTTTTTTGAAACTTTGGCCATGCGTCGCATGAGAATCCAACTCTTTAACAGTGTAAATAACTCAGAATGCTTGAAATAGCATTAGACCTCCCCTTTAAGAAAAATGTGTAGTCTTCATTAAACGTATAGACAAATGAAGCATTGCATTAGAAGTTGGGAAACGTTTCGTTGAAACAGTTTGAACTGACTTGTGAAACTAAGGCCGTGTCCACACGTACACGGGTATTTTTATAAACTGAGTTTTTCTTCCCTTTTAAAAAAAATCTCCGTCCACATGAAAACAAACGCATGCTATGAAGCACCGTCAAGAACATGCCAAACCACCAGGTGGCGATATAATCTCAACCGTAAAGCCATGTTAGCCAATCGGAAGCCGGAAAAAGTCTGCAGTAGGCGGAGATAACAGCATAGGCGCCGACGTCACAAGCCTAAAACTCCGGTTTCACTGTCTACACGATAACACTGCAACCGGAGTTTTTGAAAATCTTCACCCTGGCAGGCGTTTTTCAAAAATTTTCGGGTTCAGTGACCTGGTGCTGCGTGTGGACGAAAGGCCTAACTGCGTAGAAAAAGCTGCGGTTTTAAAAATAACCGCGTTCGTGTGGACCGGGCCGAAATCCATTGTGCACAAATCTAATTCTATTTTTCTGAATCGCCCAGATACCGATGTCTGTTTACTGAATGCAGTTGTGATTCTTCTCACAGAGCACAAGGATTCTTCAGATGAGAAAAGGAGCAGCAGAAAGGGCTCGGTTGAGAAGGCTAATGAGCTCTCTGATGCCGAGCCTCCCAAAGCGGACGTGAACGGCACCGCGCAAGAGCTACATTCTGAAGGTGACACACAGTCCAATTAAAACTGATCTGATAGGACCTCAGATCAGCCCCAGGTAAGTGCACCGTCCTCCCCGGCCCGGGTCTCTCCCCCTCTCCCCTTCCCCCCCTTTTCTTTCAGTTCTGTCTGTGATTTTTCTTCCTGTTTTTTAATAGTGCATCGTAAGTATGCACTGAAGATGGGGACTAGGCTGATGAAACGGAAGAAAGTAGAAAGAAACAAACCCAGAGGGAAAGGCCAGTGTAGTCCTGAAAAACATGCTTGGAGGTACCTCGTTTTGTATCGGTCATACATCTGTCTCTTTAGACAAGTTCTCTTCCAAATTTACGTGTTTATTTTTTTTCTTTTTTTCCTAACTCTGCCTTTACTACCTCAACCTGTTTACTCTATGCTCGCAGTAAGATTAAACTAGTTGATTGAACTTTGTTTACACATCTATTGCACATATAAAATGATTGTGTGCTCTTATGCATGTACATGCATAAGCGCACAGCATTTTACCATCTGATGTCTATAAGGTGTTAATAAGAGGTCCAAAGAGTTCATTGAACTGCAATGAATACATATATATATATATATATGTATTTGTTTTGTTGGAGTTACATGGATATGTTGCACTTTTAATACCGTCTGTTCTTAAAGTTGAGATCCGATAGCTTTGGGATGATGGAAGTGTAGGGTTAATTAATTATTGCAGCTGACTTCCACACCTCACACAGCGTTGGTGTTGTGAGCGACCCCCTCCCCCATGAAAAGCCAATTTAAAAATCAAGGATACTGTCAATCTGTGCAGGTACTCACCCAAGGTACTCCTTTCACTACCCACATCCATTTGAATGATGTTGCCTGTGAACGTGTCTCAGAGCTTGATGTTTATTTACCCCATCTCTTTTCTCCCAGTTTTAAATGTTCTCAGTTTTGCTTTCTGTTGGTTTCAAGTGCCAATGGTTTACTCTACACCTAAACGGGGTGGACGTAACATGTCAGGTTTACAGATGAGCCCAATTGATATCCCACAGTAACCTATCAAGCTCAAAACAGTTCTTTCTCCTTGTTTGTGTCGCTTATTTTCATTTTGCCTGTTCAGTAACCAGTAATAGGTTTGAATTAGGGCTGGGTGATATAGCTAAACAAACGTATATCAGTTCATCTTATGGATGAAATTTCAAATATTTAGTAACTCTCAAATGAGCTTTTTTCTTTTTGTCTTTAAAAAGAGGAGCCATCATTTTGCCATTGTAGCCTATTCAAAATGAAAGTAGTAAAATAGTGGGAATTAAAGAGAAAGAAAGAGAAAAAACAGCAACAACAGTGAAATGTGATTACTTGTGTATGCAGTTAGGTTGCATGCAGTACAGGTCTGGCGGGTGCATTAAATGCATTAATTTTAATGCATTATAATTTTTCCGTTAATAATTGCACCAAATTTACATGTTAAATCTTCAGCCCTAATATGCACTAAAGCAACAGTACACAGGAAAATACTAGAGCCCAACCGATATGGGTTTTTTGGGGCCGATACCGATATTAGGGAGTAAAAAAGCCGATATCGAAATATCGGCCGATATTCTTTGTGTATATTATAGTACAGTGCCAGTCAAAAGTTTGGACACTTTCCCATTCCAGGGTCCAAACATTTGACTGCTACTATATATAGAATATAGTATATACATAAACAGAATATATATACATAAACACATTTTTGAATTTAACCACCCGTAACTCCCGAACCCTGGCGGCATATTCGCCGATACCGGTAAATTGGCGACAGGCTCATATCGGCCGATAATATCGGTCGGGCTCTAGAAAAAACATTAGTATTTATCTATTAATGTTGAATCACAGTTTTGAATTGATTTATAGGATCAATCAGACTTGCTAAATTTTCATGCATTTTTGCTACTAACGCTCTACTTAATTTTTGAAGGCATTCAAATCATTGAATATATTCACAGAGGTGATTAATTTTATATCGTGGCTGAATCTATCAGGGATATTGGATATATCGCTCAGCCCTAGCGTGAATTAGCTTGTGTTTTAATGCAGGTGTGTCTTTTGGAAGTAAACTTTTACTTTCTCTCTCGTGTCTTGTTTAAATTCCCTACTTGTGTTGTCCTTAAAATAGCAGTGCATGCTTTCAGAGCAAGATCAGCCACCTACAGTGTCAAAGTCTGGCCTTATAGAAGAGGGATATCAATTCTTTCAATATTTCATTGTTTTATTTGTGTGCTTTCCTTCAGTCATTTTTACTTGCAGCCGAGCAGTTGCTCTCGCTGCTGCTATTGTAAATATAAACATGTAAATCTCTAGATTTGAAAACCGATTAAGAGGATATTTATAAAAGTGATCAAATGTGTCGACTGCTTATTGGACGTTAAAAAAATGTGGTTTGATCATTTTTAAAAAGCTGTGTAAATGAGACTGTTAATCTGGTGCTGTGTTTTTGGTTGTGCTGTAAATGTGTCCGGTTTCACACACTAATGGATTTTTTTCTGACCATTTGTGTACATCAGGGGGAGTTCGAACAGCTGCAAGAGGAAGACCTGAAGACCTCCATCTGACAATTCAACTCCGCTGCTTTAAAACAAGGTGAACCACAGATGTAGTGGCCTATATGATAAAGATGTAAATGTAAAATGGTTCTGTAGCCCTTTTTCAATGTTTCCACAGGACCTTTCTTGTGTTTGTTTGGTTTTCTTTGGGCTTACTGCTATAAGCTGGCATAGATGCACATGCAGGTCCACCATTATTTCTGTTAGTCTGCATTCAGAGAACACTTGTGGCATGTTTGCTCTGTACAGTCCGCTCTCACTTTACACATTGGAATTATTGAAGATCGGTTTTGTTCAGTATTTTGTCTGCTTTATCTTTTTATTTTCCCCTCTGTATGCTAAATCCCAAATCTTTATACGATTTTAGTTTAGAGAAGTGTTTTCATTTTGTTCCAGTTTTAAAACCTGTATTTGTCATGAATAAAAATGAAGAAAAAATGCTGATGCTTTCTTTTTTTTCAAAATGCTAGTGGTGCATGTTGGGGAAAAAAACTGAGCCGAGTGTCTTATTTCAAATGTAACTGCTACAGCTACTAGAAAGTTTTTCCTCGTTAAACTTTTTTTTAACACGAAAGTAATTTTGCTTCTGTTACAGGGTGTCTGCGGGGTCTTAAAGTATTAAAAGTTGATAAATCAATTTAGAGAAAATTAAGGCCCTTAAAAAGTCTTAAATGGCATTTTCTATGGTATTAAATTGTCTATTGTCTTTTCATGATGTATATTTGTCCGAATAGTGTGGTTCGGTGTAGTTTATTTATGGAATCCCGCAAGATTTGACTTCATCTGTTACGGCGCTCACTGACTAACTGCACCGCTACGTGATAGCGCGGGGCTTGTTGATCCCGCTCTCGCTGAATTTCTGACCATTACCGCACCCTCCCATCCGCTCCTGCTATTTTTGTGTCCAAAACCATTCTAATATTGTATATAATTTTCGCGCATCAGGGTGCTGCTATCAGTATGTGGGTTATTTAAATCCCTTTTGAATGAGCGCTCGCAGTCACAGTTCACTTTTGATTTTGCGATCGCGCGCACTGTGTGAAGGGAGCACATCCTATGATAAAAGATTTGTCAATGAGCTCGGGATCTGTTGCGGAGTAAATCCTCCAACATCTTGTCAGTTATCTCTCCTTACTTTTGACCCGCGATCAGTCAAATCTGACTACTTCAGCTCGTGTTGGATGCAGGGAAGTTGTTTTTTTTCCACGAAATTGGGCTGCTTTTAAACTGTTGCCATGGGTTGATTTTCCCCAGTGGGTTAAAGGTTTGAAATATTGCATAAATGACATTTGGTTGAAATGCTTGTACTGAAACATTTTGCATTCTACCTGTAATAAAACTGCTAAATGTTTTGGGCCACACTAGTAGGAAGCATTTGAGCTGTATTTATGATAAATGTGCATAACAGTGACTGTAAAATATGTATTTTAGGGATGGAAATGACTTTTATATTTGGGACATGGTAATTGCGCTAGAAGGTTCAAAAAACACATTATTTTCCCTCATACTGTACATTATTGTTTCTCCTCTATGCCCGCCTTTCTGAAAAGCATCGATTTTTACAAAACTCATCGGTCTGAAAAGCGAGGTGTGCTGTGATTGGCCAGCTATCCAGTGTGTTGTGATTGGCCGAATACCTCAAGCGTGTGACAGAAATGTTACGCCTCTTACCATATTGTGATGTTGCACGGTCAGGCTGGAGCGATGATTCAAATACATGAAAACCCATTATAACGAGGCATTCATTGCATCGAGTGGGGACATAATTATGGATTATAATGACTTATACTGTCTTTTTACGCGTTGCATCGTGCCGCGTAAACATAAAACCATGTCTGCATTTGTGATCAGAGAAATGACAAACAACAAGCGCTACTCTACACTGCCCAAAAAACTCGCTTTAAATATAAAATATAAAACTTCTTTAAATATAAAAAAACATACTTACAGTCTTTGAGTCAGAAAAGCCAGCATTGTAGTCTACTCTCCCAGGATCAGGACACAGTCCTCCATAAAATGTGCAGCACACATCTGAATATTTGGGTTGAAGTGTTCTGGAACAGTGTTGTAAATACAACTTAACCACTGATTTCTAGTCATGTCCATTTTTGGAAGACCAAACAAAGTAGTTTATTTTTCACACCGAAACGCAGGATCACACACGGAGGGCTAGAGTGAGCGGAGGCCTGCGGATTCGACGAAGGAGGCTTGCGGCAACCACATGTGACGACCCCGGGCTGGACTCCGCTTCGTCCACGGTGAAAGCCGATCCGGCGATCCACAGCGCGAAGTTGTAGTATTTCCTCAGCGACCAGCACAGATCAGCTCGAGGCATGACGAAGCAGATATCGTCCTCTTTTGGAAGACCAAACAAAGTAGTTTCGCTTTCACATAGTGACGTAGACATGTGGGGGCGTGTTAGAATGAGCGGTTTTAGGCAGGCGTGGTTGACTCTTAACTTTTATAAAGAATATCTCTTTGGATTTTAGACTTTAGTCTTTGCAACTTTGCAG